GACAAACCTACAGCAATTTGAGCAGGGAGATAGCGTTTTCAAATGTCTTACAGTCTGAGATGTGTTCATAGACAGAGGGTGCCAAAAATGGATGAGTAGGTCCAAATTGTCTGTGTCATCGGACTGNTTAGAAAGGCGTTGAAAGTGCGTATCCAGTAGGTCCATTGTTTGGAGGCGTCAGGGGCGTTCAGGTCGATATCACATTTGTCGGGTCGAAGGTAACGGTCCATTATTAGTTGAGTAAATTGTAACGTTTTACTAATCAAGCAAACGAGAGTGGAACGGAGAAGACTCGGAGTCGGAATTGTACGCTTTATTCAACTAATAAATAAATAAATAAATCCGGTACATGAGTTGTAATAGAAAGAAAGGGGTTCATGTAATACGCAATTTAAAAGGGTGTATAAACAAGAGAACCAGAATATGACAGTCAACCAGTTAGCTCAGGTTGTTGACCAGAGCGAATTCTTCGGTTTCGCACCCCAATGAAGAAGTAGCAGAGGAATGTATCGACCAGTCCTGATTGTGAACGTTAAGATCTCCCAAGATGATAACATGACATTTGGGGTCGGTTGCAAACAAGTGTTCAATGTTCGAAGATGGAATATCAAAGATGGGAGAGTCGCCGCTATTGGGGGAACGATACAGAACATAAAAGTAATGAATAAAGGAAGGAAGTCGGAGTTTCAGCCACGTCAGCTGAAATTCACGACTGGAAAAGTCAAGATTTGGGAACCTGGAGGCAGTGACTGGTTGGTTAATAAAGGCGCAGACACCAGCTTTGGGTAGAAAGGAGGAATGGAGAGTGCAGTTGGGGAATTGAAGGTGGGTGTTGTCTGACGAGGGGGAGATTTGTGTTTCGGTCAAAAAAGACTAGCGGAGAAGAGTGGATAAAATCTACAAAATCAATGTTTCGGTCCGAGAATATTGATGGGGGCGATGAGTGCTTGTTTCCAGTTGGAGTGCGTAGAGCGAGCGAGTGCGAGTGAGCGTCTGTGATTTTGTATTGTTAAGATTATGTTGTGAGGAAACCGGCAACCATGATCCTGAAACTTGGAGTGGCGGTCCACATAAGGCTCCAGTAGATCAGGCGTGGTAGTGAACCGGGTGACGGCAGAGCAGCCTACCACGTTAAACGAGCTTTCTCTGCGTGTGCTAATGTATTACTAATGAGAGATTGAATTTTTACCAGAAATTGACTGGGCTATCGGATGGGTCCATGGGTCCTCATCTTTTCATGAAAACCTACTGGTACTAATCAGCGAGAAGAACCTGCTGCGGCGTGTCCGCCAACCAACGCGCTGGAGAGCGGAAAACTCCGTGCTCACTGGATGTCATCATGATCAAGTATCAAGTTGAAGTTACGGAAGTGCGTATCGCAGCACCTCTTTGTGGAAGCGATCACGGCACACTCAATTTCGTATGTCATAGACAGAAAAATACCACCTGAAAAATAGAGGAGGTCTTACAAGCGTCTCAGTGCAATCACCTTGGTGTTTAGGGCACCAACTATGAACTGGAAAAGCCAGTTCAGCAACGCGGGGGACAAATAAAAAGAAATTTACTAATCCCAATTGAGAAATTTGCACAACTGAAGCAACTGCATCAAAGAGGAAGTCCGCCTTTGTGTAGAATTGCGGCGAGCAGGGTTCAAAGGATATGAAAACGCTTGGAGTGGAAGTGTTTCGCTGTCTAGACAAGTCACACCAGGTACCTCTAGTACCTTGGAGCTTGAGATGTAGCCATCAGCACTCAAAAGAAATGCAAGATGAGCTATGAATTAGCTTTGGCATCAAATGCAAACGCATGCACTAAGGTATACTATAAATATAATCAACTAAAAGGAAGCATGAGAGTAACCGTGTGTAATGTACTGCTCGGGTCAGGAGAGCGCGCAACTACACCTGATCAGAAAGCTAAGTCTCTTCTTAATTTCTTTAAGATCGTTTACGTAGAGGATCGCGGCATACTTTCAGGCGAGTCTATGCGCTCCCAAATAGTGCAAATGGAAAAACCTTCGATCTCCACTGAAGAAACAGCAGCGATTCAGAAGGGACTTGCTAGGCGGAAAGCTGCGGGGCCGGACGGAATCCATCCTGCAACTCACTCAACTTTAGCCGAAATCGTGGCACCTCACATGGCTAGTCCGTTAAACAGGGCATTTGAAACCGGTTAAATATCAGAAGAGAGGCGGATAACAGAGGTGGTACCCATCCACAAAAGCGGCAGTTGGGATAATGTTGAGAGTTATTGACCCGAAACTCTCCTCTCGTTAGTGCCAAAAGTTATGAAAAAAGCATAATGAAAGCACTGGCTAACCGCCGAGTCATACAGAACCTCATACAGCCCTAAAACGGGTTTGTTGGTGTTAAGTTATGTCTCAGCAACGTGCTGTTCTACTTCGATGATGTGACCGCAAGACAGAGGTGATCAAGTAGAAATACACTCTTTGGATTTCCGGAAAGCCTTTAACTCCGTAAATTGCCACCTACTGCTGAACAAGCTTAAGGCTCTGAATGTGTCACCAACAGTAGTGCGGTGGTCAAAATTGAAAAATTTACATCAGAGTGGTGGATGGGTACTCCCGCCTAACTAATACTTGCAACGGAGTACCTCAAGATTCAGTCTTGGAGCCATTACTCTTCATCATTTTTATATGATTTGACCGCCAGGCTAAAGTCACCTTATTACTTGTTTGCCACAGTTCAGTTCAGTTCACTTTGTACAACCATTAACCATGCACTATCGTGCGCCGGTTTTGGTTGCTGTGTTCTGGCTTCTCGTTTGGATGGACATTAGGAAAAGACCTGAAAGGTAAAAATTAGGATCAAGCAGAAAGTTTAGACTTCCAGTGGACTAATTCTGCAGAGAAATTGACAAGGTGCACAAACGCCACTGTTTACGACACTCAACCATATCACTCAGTGTCT